TATTGGATAGCAACTTCATGGCATAATACCAAATTGTTTATGAGTTGTGCGGATGTTCGTTTCAACATGTTGTTATCGTCATGCATATAGTCCTCGATTTTCTCAAATCCTGCCTCCTTGAATATATGTTTTCGCATGCTGTCGTTGATGCTAGCTAGATTGCATAAAGCTGTTAGAGTCTCGCAATTCTCATTCACGGAACACTCGGAGTTCAGGAGATTTATGATCGGCCGAACAGCCTGCATGATTATCTGACCAGAAACTGCAATTTCAGGAAGTATCGTGTAAGCTATATGGACCAGGGCTCGCGAAGCATACTTTTTTCCTTTGTCTGTGCCATTCAGCGATAACGACAACAATGCCTCCATACCGCCTTCATCAACAACTATTTTTCTCAAATTATGTTGACTGCATATCGCTTTGAATACGCGAGCTATTAATTCCTTGCAGTTCCAGCTGTCCGTTTTAGCGAGGTTTACCAGAGCGCCTGTCACACCCTCATTCGCTAACACGCATCGTCTTTTTTTCACGAAGTCGTTGCCATCTTTGGTCAGATATTCCTCGGAAAAATAACGTCTAATAAACATTACCAATTCTGTCATTTCGGGTATGAATTCTTTCTTGTCATAAGCGTCGCACAAGTTTACCAATATAATGGTCAGGCCGAAGATAACCGATTGATCGTTAGTCTCGGCGAGCTCGATCATCGCTTTAACGGCTTGTCGGTCTTTGATCAACTCCTTTTTGACCTCGACGTTGCTAGTGAGATACGACAGGCCTTCAACGGCCCATTTTCTAATGTCCTTTCTTTTTTTGTGATTAATTAAGACTTGTGTACAAACCTTGGCCAATTTCTTCGTCGCTCCATCTGCGAACGGTTCGATAGTCGTGCAATCGCTCAAAATGCTTTTGTCAAATTTGCTTAACTTGCAAAAACCAACTAACGCTCGAATCCGAATTGAATCATCCTCAGATTGATACAGGTTCTCCAATATATTTACACTTTGACGTATAAACACACTGACTTTTTTAGATTTGGTCACAACGGCAACGATACATTCGCAAACCACTTTCTGTTGCAATATGTCATCCGTTTTTGACATAGCAAAGATCATCTTAAAAATCTCTGGTTCAAAGATAACTGCTTCCGCAACATCTAACGAACCGAATACTAAAGTTGTTATCGCAAGTACTATGCGCACCTATGAAACAATCAAGTAACAATTTATAAATTTTTACGTAAAACAATATTTGATTAATGAAAAATAAATCAAAGCAGCTACATTGTTATTTAATTTTGATAAAAAATACGAAAAATCTTTGGTAAATTATGCTTCAAAAAATACAATAGATGATAAAGTCGTACTCAATAAATTTCGATTAAACTCTGTTACAATCGTATTTTAATATATGTGTAAGTTACACACAATATACAATATCGACAATTAAAAAAGAAATTTTTTTTGACATTTTTAATTGCTTTAGAGATTATAGAGTTTAATTTAAATTTTATAGACTTTAGAGATTATAGACTTTATTTTGAATTAATTTAGATAATTAAAAAAGATTAATTTCAAAATTCTTACTTTGGATTCTGTGTCAAATTTAAGCAAATTATTCCCAATAAATTCTTCAGTGGCATTGATAAATGTCCTCTTATCATCATTACAGTACGTGTTTTCATATATCTTTGCAAAGCATATACTGATTATATTTCGCGTGGAAGACGTTATGTCGAACGAGGATTCGTATTCCTCCAACTGACTGGCTATCTCCAATAATTTTTGCAAACCGCGAAGCTCGACCAATTGTTCGGCCCAGTTTAATGCAGTATGTATATTATGCGTAATAAGTTCTATTATTGCGTCTCTAGCAAGTCCTGTTATCGTTTTATTCGTTACACTATTCAATAAGCATGACAAAATCATATCAAGTTCATTCTTATGTGTTTCGCACAAAGTCTTATCGGGATTTGCATCACGTTCATTATTCATGCCGCTGTAAGTGTTCAATATGTTCTGAAACCAAAATATGCAATAATATTTTAATTACTAAAATATGTGTAAATATGTATAACTGTATGTATTATTTTGTTCGATAATATCAACCTGTAAACAATATTGAGACGCGTTGACTATCTTTGGAGACGTGCTGTTCATGACTTCCAGACACCAAAGCAAACCGACATATCTCACAACGGACTCGGTTCGTTTAATATTGTTTTTGCATACCTCGCCCACAATACGAATTGCGCTACAAATCACTTTCTCATTCTCTTCAACTTTTATAAGTTGTGCGATTTTTGTTACAGCTTCCTTCTGGAATATCTCCTCGGCACTAGCTTCGTCACGTGCGAGCGCAAGTAGAGAGGTCATAGCGATTTCACGTTTCTTCTTGTCTGCGCTCACGTTAAATGCTAAATCCAGCATTTGCGATATCTAATACAAAGTAAAATAAGCGTATTCTTAAACATAATGATGTGTAATAAAAATGAAAATAACTGTGAATGATAATATTTGTATTATGTAACTTCTATCTACATAGCAAGTATTCTATTAATTAAATAGCAATTAATAATTATATAATAAAAAAAAAAAATTAAATCAATTTGTCAAATCATGTGTAGTATTTTGAGAAATAAAAACTTTTACTAATATATCCAGTACAAGAATTATGTTATAATTTTTATATTATCTAGACCAAATATGTCTTGCAAGTTGATGAATCTTTGTAATAGTTATGTATATTTACCGTGGCACTAAGATGTGAGTCCTTACGACAATCTTGTACAATTTCATGTAAGCGCTCCTTTACGGGTTGAATAACTTTGTTATTGGGGTCAGATGACATAATAATCTCTGCATCTCTATATGCCTCCTCGAATCTCTTTAACGCTTGTAGCGCTTGACATCTGCGATACAATGCTTTATTACAACATATCTTTAACGAAGTGTTGCAGTCTTTAATAGCTTTCTCGTAATCGCCCAGCTTTAAATAAGCTGCAGCTCGATTTCTGTAGAACATTTCTTTCTCAGCGTTGCCTCCTTTTGGTAGTTTCAGTGCGTTTGTGTAGTTACTCAATGCTTCTGACCAATCGCCTTTGTTAAACTCTTTATTACCTTTTTCTTTCCATTCCTGTTCAGTCAAATCTGACTCTGCCATGGTGGAATATCTCTACAACACAAAATATATGATTCGTTATACGTTTTAACATGGAAAGACTTTCTGTAATATTTTATGTATATTAACTTAATTGCAAAATATATAGAGAATAAAATTTATTTTTAAATAATTACATGCAAATATGAGAGCATTAACGTGCCGTCAATAGAGTATTTTGTTTTTTTTTGCTTTGATATACATTTAATTCTTTGATTTTTTCAAACCAGTTCGTTACATGTTTCATATAAACAGACCGGCGGCGCAAGGGTAAGCATAAGAAAATAAAGTCTCGAGCAACAAAAATTTTAGATTCGTAAGTCAAAGGTGACGAGATAAATATTACATTACACGAAAGTTAATTTTTCAGTTCCATAAAGAAGGGAAATATTGTTATCACATCGTAAAAGTACGTTGGATCTGGAATCTATTATAAATTATTACAGAATTACAGGATTACGGTTTATTATAAAATTAAGATGCTATGTTATTCGTCGTCGTTGTTGTGTCTTTATGCAACATGAGATTTTTCGTATAACATGAGATGTTTCTAATCACGCGTTTACGTTAATGTTCTAATTGCAACTCACTCAGGTGAACTCGTGTACTGTCCCTACAATGAAATTACTGACTCGTTCGGTTTAACAGTTTCACTTGAGTAAGTCATACAATAGCGTGCAAGCGGAGATGAAACATTACGCTCTACTTGTTTCGACGATTCGTTGAGATATTTTTAGGTGAAGAGTAATACACGTTTGTTACAAATACCTTTTTATTAGGTCGAATTTGATCACGTCACACGCGGCAAGCTTTCATTGAGATCGTCGGCGAAACAGAACAGAATGTAGATCCTTTACTTGTCGGATAACTTTCCTTTTGTTTTCTCGTGTAGCTCGAGCACTCTCAAACCTTCTGTACTCGTTCTATTATTGTTTACGACCGTAGGACTTTTCAAGGAGTAACTTAAACCACGGTAAGCATCGTCCATGGGGATTATCCGATAGGAGCATCGTGAGTTGTCTCGCTAGAATAGAATTTAATTCTGATTGGCTTTTCGTAACCACGTGACCTGCCTAACTAATAAGGCACAACGTTGAGCATCACGTGACTTTCTCTAGAAATCGTACGAGGTTCTTTTCAAACTGCGTGTGTGTAGTTCTTTTTAAATTGCATGCGTTTTCTTTTTGTATTAGATGCACCAAGTGCGATCGTCAAGGGTTGGTATATATAGCAAGAGAGATTCTACAAGTAGTGCAACGAAAGAAAATTGATATTTCAGCAGAACAATCCGACTGTTAAACAAAAAATTATAGAGATTTAATGAGCACCAGCGGCGAGGAATTTCCGTTAGATATAGACGACGAGCAAGACGTAATTAAGGACTGACGTGTTAAAAATTTGTGATTTAATTAATGCTCGATCGTTCTTACAAATGTATATCTTTCAGCTTCTTGACTTTAAAACCAGATCGCTGAACGTCAATTTCAAAGATCCGAATGAACTTTGGTCAGCTTTATTCGAAGAAGAGATACAAGAATTTGAGCTACTGATAAAAATAAAGAAAACGGAAAGGTTAATACCCAAGTTACTGCCGTGATGGACATGCCGGAAAGAAAATTATTTTAGTCCGTTGAAAAGAACCTAAGAAAATCTATAGCAATTTATAAAATATCCTATTTTGATATTTAACGAATTGCAGGTTGGTGATAATAAATTCATATGCTCAAAATGGTATAATTATAATTGTGCAGCTAAACTTTATTATTTGCGTTTAGGAAGTGTCCCTTTACGTAGTCTATAACGTAATATACGCGTTTTCGTAAAGATCATTTTCTACTATATTGGATATTATTTGAAATGTATCCAGGAGACTGCCCGTGTTTTTGTGACTATCTGTGAGAACATGAGAAACAATAAAATCTTTAAAGATACGGACGAGGCAATAGAATCCGTTATAGAATACGTAAAAGCCTCGTACACCTGTTTTAACCCGTTGTGGTCACATGGGGTCCAGTGGACCCCAGGCTTTTTTTCTTTTTTTTTTTTCCAAAAGTATACTATTTTGAAAGTAAAACGCACAAAGTTTTTTTACTCTATCTCAAAAAATTTTGATGAATATTTTTGTAAAAAAAGTCAAATTTCTCGAAAAAAATTTTTTTTTCTCGCGTTTTTTCAACATAAAAAAATTTTTTAAATTATTGGATTATCAAGAGGAAGTCATAAATTAATTCCAGTTCAAGGTTTGAGTCGATACATCAAAAAGAACGCAAATGGAAACTGTTGTGGGGTCCATTGGACCCCGTGTGACCACTACGTTATTTTTAAGAGGTGTGACCACAACGGGTTAAATTTAAATGTAAACATTATAATATATTATTATTAAATATATATGTAGGTTAATGGGTTGCCATAAGATGAACAAACTTTATCGGTGCTAACATTAGCACCTCCATCTTGCAAAAATCAGGCGTCGAGATGAAACCCATCTATACGTCCGCGGCATTCTCCGAGCTTCACCGATTGCTAGCAGCAGCGAAGAAACAAATTATAACCTGCAAGAGCGACAATCAGAAATTCAAAAAGAGATTTTTATAAAGACAAAGCGATGACGCAAGCCAGTAAAAAAAAGAATACTTTTGTGCTTGAAGAAGCTAGAATATTATTGGGTAAAAACCGCAAGTCTTGTAGATGAGAGTTTTGTAAATGCAAAGTTTCGTTATTTATTAATTATATTATACATTGTGCTGTCATTTATTAAAATAAAAAAGAATTCCATTAATATGACATTAAGATCCCAATTAACATTTATATAATTTTCTTAATCGACATGTTGTAAACTATCAGTGCTTTGTGACAATTCGTCACTTTCGTCGTTTATTCTGATTTTGTCCCATTCTGCACCAGCTTCTAAAGCCAATTTCTTGATGTTGTTTTGTACGGTATCGTCCTTGCTCAGTGTTCTCAATGCTTCTATTATATCTGTTCTCATGAGTTTTGTAGCAATGTTTTTTGTATTTCTTATTATATTTAACGAAATTTCGATACCCTTACGTTGTATATCACCGTTTGGATTAGAGAATAAGTTGTATAGGAATTTTAGCGAGGAATTCAAATAGAGTATTTGCTCGCAAGCCTCTTTGCTGACCGCCGTCAGCATCGCTACTGTTCCAGCCATTGCCTTAACGGTATCTTCATCCTTGTCCATGAAAAAGAGTGTAAGATGCCAAATTTGATAAGGTCTCTGCTCGAAATATTGGATAGCAACTTCATGGCATAATACCAAATTGTTTATGAGTTG